AGAGATTAGTGCTCAGTATACGTCAGTATCTATTTGATCTAATGTGTTAAATATATCGTAGAATTTACATGTTTTTAAGTAATTGCCTTCCTTATTATTTAGTTAGAGTCATTACTTCGGTATTCCAATGGCTTGGAAGCGTAATAAATATGTGTAACAAGAAATTAGGCACGCCTTACGACAGATGCCAGAGTGTCTTCGAAGGAGCGGTTGCAGATTGTAAAGCGAAATTGGGACCGATCCTAGGGACCGTTTGCAACATAACTTATATAGTCAGTGCACTCTGCTACGTAGTGAAACCGTTAGACTTTATTTGCATGCTCGTCTCTTATATAGCTGATACCGTAGTGGGTGTCGTACGCAATAGTAAGCTGTAATTTGTATTTATCTTTTCTGTTTTACTTAATAAATTACACATTATAGTAAAATATAAAAATGGATAGCTTATTAATAGTTTAATACTATGATTTCTGTAATTCATAGAAATTAAGCAGTTTACGATGCATGTGAAAGCTATGTTCTACGTGAAAGTTAAATTCTCTCATTCGTTTCATTTTGAGACGAACCAAAGTAAAACGATAGAAGAAGTTTCCTCGGGTATTGCTACAGAAATACGATCGAGGAGTGATAAACTCTTCGGGTTCTTCGACTTGGTCAGCTTCGTCACGTCATTTTTCGTTTTCTTCATTGTACTCAGGTAATATTATACGATAGGATAAAATCAATCACATAAAACGTTATCTTAATAAACCATTAAAGAAATACAATGTACATAAACGCGTTACAACAACAAGTAAACTTATTTTATAGAAAAATAAAATACTACAAAACTTAATCTAAAGCACTTTGTATTTTTTATACTGTATTACAAACTAGAATTTCATCCGAATCCTTAGTCTGTTTAATTATACATATTTACAGGGTGTTGCATTACCGCTACAAATGGTTAACTAATGAGCGTTTTGACAATCGATATATAACTGATAATCTGCGTACGATTGATTTGGTACGAGCTCGTCAAGACAAAGAAACGGTGTTGCCTTTGAATTCACGAGAACGAAATAGATACGCGCCTCTATCTTCCATAATGTTAATCAAACCCGAAAAACAGAAATTAGCGAGGTCCATAATATTCTTAGGCTTAGCCACGATAAAATTAGTCACTTACATGTTGATAGATTATTGCCTCTTCTGGGTTTTACGTACTATTCAATTACATGGACGATTTCAAAGTAAGGTAAAGTGTCAAATATAGAAACAGTATTTTACATAATCGATGAATATCATAAAGCAATACTGATTCGACTGAATATCATAAAGCAATGTTAGAAACGAGAATTGCACTTTTAAGGTCGAACGACCAAGCGTGGTGACCATCCACGTATCAGGAGAAGGATATCTGTCTGAACTTTATACAAGTATCGTAAAAGCGTTCACGCCTGGCGGGAAAGAAGCAGAAATCGACACGATGTTATGTCTTCCTGATCCGATACCCCCTGATACAGATAAATACGTTCAGATCATTGTCTTGATATTTTTCTGTTGGTCCATGGCATTTTTTGAACCATACGGTTTGAGATTGAGGCACATCGTCATGTCTCAGTATTATCCTGACAGGGCGAAGCAGAGAGCAGCTTGGTTGTACAATCACATTCTTAGGTACTAAACTTGATTTTCCTGATCCCACGTTTTAATCTCATTCGCATTCATCCTCAAACGCATACGTGTACAACCAGAACGAGAGGGAGCTTTTTAAAATTCGCCAGACGTCAGCTACGTCGGAAATTCGGTCTAATCAAAAGCGAAAAAACAGAAAAAGTAACTTTGAAGGAACGATTGTGGGCAATGTTCCCTTTTTTGAATACCCTGTTCCCATTGAAACAAAACGTTTGCCTTCTGTGCGGCGCAGTCGAACGTTCTGCGGATAATCCACATATTCGATGTCCGACCCCTGGATGCATTGGATTATTCTGCGCACAGTGCTTCGCAGATTTGCAGAATTTATGTACCATATGTCGGGCACCGATGGAATACGGCGACTTGTCCGATATGAGTGAGGAAAAGTACAGAAAATTAATTACTCCAGGATCTCATTTGACAAACGTTCGATTGAACTCTAAAGGTGGGATCCCATTTGGCGAAGGTACAACTCGTCAAGAATTAGGATGCACAATGCTAAGAGTACAAATAACGTGTGCTCAAAATTGGAATAGCTCGAGAAGGCTTAAAGATGGCTTATTATACATATGTATATGTATTTGAAAGTAAACATATAATTGATATGCGGTTTTTTTTAAGTTGTGACATGTAAAATGTGATATAATTATTGGATTGGCAAGAGAGTAATTTCGCTTTTTTAGGGAGTAATAAAACTCAATTTTTTATGTGCAATAATTTAACTTTATTCGATCAAATATCTTCCATTTTGTTCGATGACCTTCTCCCATCTCTCTGCTAACTTCATAATCCCGCGCTCATAGAACTCCTTCAGATTATTTAGAAATAATAAACACGATACTCCTTAATTGTTTCTAATAATAAAAACACAATTCTGCACTTCAAGAGTTACTGAAACTGAATGTTTGCTTAGTGGAATCTCACCATTGGACAAGAATGAGTAATAAATAGAAATCAAGTAGACTTGGTGATATAATTAATAATTTAAATCTATTAGGGACTCCTCGGATGATCAATATGAAATACCAGTAATAAAACCTGAAATAAAAAAAGAAAAAGAATTGGAAGTTAAGAAGGAAGAAGAAGAGGAAAGAGTAGAAGAAGAAGAAGTAGAAGACGAGGACGAAGACGAAGAAGAAGATGACCGAATAGAAGATGAAGAAACAGAAGAAAAATTGGAAGTTAAGGAAAGGGAAGAAAAGGAAAGAGTAGAAAGAGTGAAAGAAAAGATTGAGGAAGAAGAGACAGTAGAAGAGATCGAAAAAGACATAGCTGAACAGACGGAAGACAAATATTTGAAAGATTTAGACAGAAGTACCGATTCTACTCTCAGTTACAGTAAGTTATGTTGTCGTTGAATATAACATAATGATAAATTTACCCAATAACTTTAATAATCATCTCAGCGTATCAAGAGGAATCTCCAGAGGAAGTGGAAATTGTGAAACGGCGAAAATCGTTCAAAGACGTGGAAGCGCAGAAGATTAGAGACGACGTAACAATTCAAGTGTGTTCGAGTATCATTTGATAACTTCCTTTAGTTAATTACGAATCTTCAAATTGAGATATTTGATTCACGTAGATATTTAACGAGCCATTCATAAGGGCTCCATGCTCTAGCAGCGACTCGCCGACATCAGGTTTCGTCGTCAGAGCGCGTAGAAAAATTCGCGGCAAATTGAAAAGTCGACCATGTAGCACAGCAAAAGATTCAGATTCATCGACTTCGATAGCTGACACGGAATCCTACTCGACCGAAGATCTCGATGAAGAAGAAATAATACACATCGAGGTTGGCGACAGCTCGGAAGAATTACTTCCAAGGAGTCGGAAGGATAAACAGAAACTAAGTCGTATAAATAGAATTGTCAATGCGGTTGCAAGAATTCCATGGCTCGGTAAAGAAGTATGAGTTATCCTGAATATCTCTGAATTTATTTCATATTTTTATAGTTCAGCAAATACAATACAAAATGTTAATAATGAATATTCCTTCTGTATACTCTTAATCAGCAGTGATACGAAATATCCTCGTTCACTAATGATCGGCATATAGTAAATATCGTATTCAATGCAAAAATTCTATTTACATAGATTAGTAAATTCAATACTGCAGGAACATGATGACGCCTGTAGGGGATTGCCAAAGAAGCGTCCGTCTCTTATGAATAGAATTGTCAGTATGCTTCAAAGAAAACAATCATTACCTGCACAAACGTATAGAAGCAGAAAAACGAGGGATTTCTCATCATCTTCATGTTCGTGTGACGATGAGGACGAAACTTTGTTAAAGACGCGAGATAGACATTACTTCACTAGAAGGTCTCGGAAGGCGGAAGTGGACTATGAGTTGGACGAAAATTTGATTCCATGCGATAGAAGATTCATTACAAAACCATTACCGAGGTAATGCTGCAACGATTTTGATTAAATCACATCATTTATGAGCGTAATCGGTTTAAATAAAATTTCACGTATA